TTTTGTGCACCTCCATCAAAGAAGACAGTCACGGGCTTATAGCTGGTCGATGTGTAGTCGTATGCGAGTGCAGTTGCCGTCATCAGTACGTGCTGCATTCCTCTTTCTCTCTTCGTGCTCTTGTTGTGGAGAATTTCAGAATTTTGCGCAAATTCAGGGTTTCTCGGGAGATCTTGATCGCGAGCAGATCGTTGCTGCGATCGCCTGGTTGGGGTGCCTCTAGATGCCGAATAGCTATCCATGCATACGGCAGTGTGGTGGTTTTCGTGGCACTTGTAGCAGAACTGTGAGCTTGTGCAATCACTAATCCTGTGATCGGTTTGAAGACATCTGAAGCACAGCCTTTGTTTCCTGGCTTCATCACGTCGCTCTGCTGCTGTTTGGAATGTTGTACATCTCGTCGCATCATGTTGGTAACTTCCGCAGATGCATTGAGCAATCGAATCTCTCGAAGATCTATTTCCTTGACCGTAGTTCGAATTGTATGCGATTGAGTCTTCTTCATAGTTCAGCCTTTCATCAACTTCTTGATCGGAATTAGAGCGTGCCATAATTTTGCAGTCCTCGAATGCTTGGAATGTGTCCATTGAAAGGGCGATTGTTTCCTTAAGAGCTACCGCACTTTCCAGGATCTCTAGTATTTCCTCGGTAGATAACGGTTTGTCTTCGTTTTGCTCTTTGCTGAACACCTTTTCGCTCAGTGATGTTGGGAATTTTGAGAGTATTAATCGTCTCCACATTCGCCCGTTGTCCAAGGTGACTCCCGCACACTCAATGTGAGTGAGCTTTTCAGTCACATCGGTTAACATTTTTCGGCAGCTACTCGCGTCTTCCTTTGCTCGCGGAAGTTTTTCGAGCTCTGTGATGAGAAGATCAGCTATGCATCCGGACTTGTTGTATCTCTTGTCGAGGAGTTTCACAGCTTTGTCGTAATTTTTCCCTATCACAGGAATATTGCCAAGCATAGAAGCAGCAGATCCTTTTAGTGCTTGCCTCAAAAATAGGAACTTATCAGTGTCGGTAAGCTGGGTGTTGCTGTGGATAAGCGAATTGAAAATCGTCCAAAACGTCGGGTAGTCTTTGTAGCTTCCACTAAACGTTGGAACTTCCAGCACTGGTAATCGGACCCTGTGCTCATTGTTTTGTCTTATGGTTAGACAACTATCCGTGTCCGTATCCGGTACTGGTGATTGTATCGAAGACGATGCTAATGAGTGGATTACATTTGACTGTTTTTCTAATTCCCTCGTTCGATATTTCAACCTGTTGGTCCAGTTGATACCTTCAAGCTGTAGACCGTTTGCTTCTGTGCTTAGGAAGGCAGCCAAATCGTTCATCAATCTGTCTTTGTCTGACTGGTCCTTTTTTGCGCCAAGAAAATTCATGGCAGTTTGCACTTGCGCCTCCAGGTTCTCCAGTAAACCTGTTAGGGTAATTTGCAGTTCATCAATCTCTGCTATTTTGTCCGCTATGAAGGCGTTGCATTCGGTTGCAATGTTGGGAAATTCGAAAGCCTTATCAATATTGCGGACCTTGTCCTCAAGACCGCTGATTGATGAGCAGGCCATAGAAATGCGAGCTTTGTATAGAGTTAGCTCAGCCATCGTCTGCCTTGTGCGCATGGACTTGTATCGCTTGCGCTTTTGTCGTCTGCGTGCTTTGACACTGCAGGTGTCGGCTTTGGTAGAGGTGTTCTGGCTGGGTACTGAGTACGCGCAGCTGTCGAGAACTGTGAGGCTGGCTGGGCCTGAACCTTTGTGGGATTTTTTCTTGCTGAGCGCAAGAAAATTAGTCACTAGTGAGCTAGAAGTGGAGCGCTTAGCTTCTTCTAGTTGGTTAGCAAGCGTGCCGATGGGCTTGAACGCTGTGTTGACTGGTTAGGTTTGAATCCTGCCCAATGAGATTTTGAGGAGACCTTGTAATTTAATAGTTTTCGAGTGAACTATTAAAGATGTACCAACTGTTTTTTTTACTAACCTCTGGTCGTCTTACTAGAAGATCACAGAGGAGTTCAATTTCAGTGGTAGGGTCTTCAGCTGGAGCTTTTACTACTTTCTGGTCGTCTCACGAAGAGAGAGCTCAGAAAGGTTCAATTAACCAGTGGTTTCCTCAACTGACGCTTTTACTACCTTCTGGTCGTCTCACGAAGAGAGAGCACAGAAGGGTTCAATTAATCAGTAATTTTCTGCCAACTAACGCTTTTACTACCTTCAGGTCGTCTCACGAAGAGAGAGCTCAAAAAGGTTCAATTAATTAGTGGAGAAGTATTCAGCTGGGGCTTTTACTACCTTCTGGTCGTCTCACGAAGAGAGAGCTCAGAAAGGTTCAATTGACCAGTGAAATTTCTTCAGTTGACGCTTTTACTACCTTCTGGTCGTCTCACGAAGAGAGAGCTCAGAAGGGTTCAATTGCTCAGTGAAGAAGCCTGCCAACTAAAGCTTTTACTAACTTCCGGTCGTCTCACGAAGAGAGAGCTCAAAAGGGTTCAATTAATTAGTGGAGTGTCTGCCACGCGGGACTTTATTAGCTTTCTGGGTAGCAAACGCCAGAAAGTGAACCGTAGGCCGAATGCACCAATTTGGTATACACCAAGCTGGTACCACTACGTTGTATAACTGTTTATTGGATAGTAGCGGAGCAGCCGCTGACTATCAACAGTGAATATGCGGAACAGCCGCTGACGATAGTGGTAATATTCGAACCAACACCAGAACTGAGTATTCAGGCCCTTTTATGCCACTATTTTGGGCGTGGATAACCTGAATGCTCACTTCTGGTAAACAATAGTATCATACAGCATGAAGGATTGCCTACATGAAAGTAGGCGCCGCCAAGTAGACTATCAAGCACAGCGGAGGGGTGACCTGGCGGCTTAAGTGGTCAGTGAACAATAAGGTTTGTCAACGACAAGCTAACAGATATGCTAAATATAACATACACGGTAGATCTACAATGCTAAAGGTTGTAGATTATTTGGATAATCTACGACACAAAAATTTTTTCGAAATAAACTTTTATGAGGCTAATTTGAATTTTCAAAATTTTTTAAAAATTATTTTAATTATTTGCAAGTAAAAACAAGTCTTCTGCACATTATCTATATATATATATATATATAAAACTCAAACACTGTACCGTGTTTGTTAGGATGTTTGTGGCTTATAGACTCCTTTGTATGTGAACCAAAGAGGCTGAATTTTGTTTCCCTATAAACAAGCCACGGCGCAAAGGATAGGCTACTTTTTTCGACAATTCGCTGGGTCCTTCTATCGATTTATTGATTTTGTTTACTAAAATCTAGGAAAATGAAGGCTATACCATTCATTTCTCCAAGTGAGTAGTAAGGGGTGGTAGAGATCATTTACATTTTGCGGTGAGGAGCATGCGGTGTCATGAAGCGAGCCGGTCAAGAAAGAAGACTATTCACCACGGATACTACACGAGCGCTAAAACTGACATGGAGGTGAAGCAGGAGAGAACAGAAGATATGAATTGAAGAAAGTGGAGGACTGGTAAGTATACATCTTGAAGCATACCCTATGCTGGGCCATTCTGGACTCTCGGCCCGGGCGGGACCGGGAACCGCAGCTAGTAACACATATGAGTAACTTTCAAAAATTTTGCGACCTATTCTCGGGGGGGGGGCGCCCCCCCCCCCGCCCCCCACCCCCTCGGTACGCCACTGCTACAGACATAGTGATATGTACCGGCTGTGCGCGCGGGGTGGGTGGTTCTATTGGCGACATGTAGTACCCTATTCCAAACCTCATTCTTTCATAGGAGTAAGCCTCACTCGTCTTCTTCCAGAGTAATAATTGCTGAAAACGCAACCCCTGGAAGCGAAAAATCGGACAAATGGGATTTTGGTTGGCTCCTGATTCCAAAATCTAGAGGTTATATGAAGTGATCTGATGTGGGTAAATTTATATGAAGTGATCTGATGTGGGTAAATTTATATGAAGTGATCTGATGTGGGTAAATAAGGAGTGAATTCTATTGATAAACTCACCTCAAAAATAAAGTTAATCATGTTTGAAAATGAACATTTTGCTTGTGTGACTCAACATCGGGTCTCTAAAATCGCTAACAGTTCGTAGGGATTTCTTGATATGCTAATTACAAATATATTAACAGTTATGCTTGGTAGGTCCTCTATGTATGCTTACCATAGTAGGCGATAACACTGGCGAGGGTGGGAGTACTGAGACCGAATTGAGGGAGGGGAGTATCCGACGGTCGTGTGCCACAGCTCTTGCTTGACCCTGCACATAACTTTTGATGTGAGGGGTGGGGATGCCACAAGTTACTCTACCGAAGTAAATATCACTCCTCTAAATATAAAGTTTGCGAGCCACCTACAGCAAACCGAGGACGTGAAGCTAAAGTATTGCAGTGCGAACGTGCATTATGCTAGTTTTAGCCTGATCCGGATTTTTGCCAACTGTATGTGGGAGCAAGCATATACGCTAACTGGGCATCAATCGAGAGAATTAATAACTCCATCGTTGTCATATGTCCATTGCTAAATCAAGACGACAGGCATGACGAGGCAGCGAAGATGTCGGGCTCCGACCGGAGCCTCACGCTGCAGAAGTAAGACATCGGGAGCAGCATAATTTGAAAAGCAAGACCTCTCACTTTCATTTGCATAAGGTGTTATCTGCATATAGATAATGCTAGAGTTGAGACTGATCGCTCTTGAAAGGTTGTGAAAAATGTTTACGCCGTAAATTATAATAATATATGAACGCTTCAATCTTCCAAATCAATTCTTAACGAAATGCGCAATTGTCTATATACGTATGTACATCCTCGCGAATGTTTTCTCAGATATGACGTTAATAAAATCTGCCCATTATGTCCAACTTGCATTGCTGAGCACCTGTCGCCAAGTATTTTGCTCAAAGATTATCATTAAGATATGTTTTACATGCTAGAAAATGGAAGAAAAAAGATACAGGCAAGACATGCCGAAATAGTGCAATACTGTGTTTTTTCAGTCATGATTGCTCTTGTACAGTGTGCAAGGAGCGCGTCATCACAAACAAATTGTACTTCCCAGTTTCAACGCTGCGACTCCGAGATAAGAACATGCTCAAGGTAGTTTTACGCCTCGTCAACATTTTATTCCATTCCCATTGATAGCTGTCTTTTAGAAAGAGCAAAAAGCAAGCGCTGGAGAAGGCAAATTACCATCCAGCAAAGATGTGATGCCAAACGGTGTTGCCTTTAGGAATACCACCAAAGAAGTGCCTAGCCCTCCGCCTCGTGGAATATTTAGAGCAGAGTCAAGAACTTCAAAAGAGCATAAAGAGCTTGAATATTCCATAATCAAAAGCTGCAGCTACGGTAATCTTTCTGCTGATTACTTGGAGATGACCACTTGCGAACAAATCGCTCAAAATAACGACAAAACCACTTGCGAACAAGTTGCTCAAAACAACGACAACGTTATGCCTCCTGAAGAGGATTCAGAAGATGAAGATTCTGGTAGAGTCAGCATAACGAGCATGACAGAAGACGAGGAAATGACAATCACGAGGCTGTAATCTAGAGAATCCTTATTATTTTTCATTATATCGCTGTGAATCGTGTTTTGCTATATATTGATTATATTGATATGCAGATTTGCTTTTTGTCGGCAGCAGTATTAGTGTGGAAGCACGCTGATTCTACATACAACCATCATCTCTATCTCTGAATCCCTTAGTTAGACCTCATTAACTTAACCTTCATGCTTGACCCTTTCCTTTGTGACTTACTACATATAGAATAGGTCCGCAGCTGTAATCGACGACTAACTATCTCGAGCTAGTCAAAATTCTCAACGTCTACTCCTTTGTAATGCCGCGGAGCAAGCAAAGTAAACTTTTGTCGATGTAAAGTTTTTTACTTTTCCTATATGGCTATTTTTTTCATAAAAGCACCACCCCAGTTCATTGATGGTAATTGACGTTTTTTATACACTTGATATCAGAATATACAAGGTGCGGAAAAAATACTGTCACTCAAAATAAAGGTCAAAAAAATTGGCATGATTGGTTATTCTGGTAAATTCGACGAATAGATGTAAATGTATTCAAGCATTTTACAAAAACCGGCCCAAAATTCTGCAATTTCGCTGGCCGCGGATTCCTCTGGCACCAAGATTACGTAGTATGTTCATTGGCCCAAGATCACGATGTAGACAAAGTGCGACGCTTTTTTCGTTCTTCCTGTCACTTTTTTTGTTGAATTTGGAACTTTAAAGGTTTGGATCCAAGTCATTAAGAAAGAGCTGCCTCTTTTCGAAAATACTCGCGCGTCGCAATCTTCTTTGTTTAGCGAAAATCTCGAGCCACTGACTTAATATAAATATAGAGTTTTGGAGAAAAAGTTATGCTCTACACACTACCTCAATTTGATAATATCATTCTTGGTGGTGAAGTTAGTTTCTGAAATCGCGCTCAAACATTGCGACGCTCGTGGATAATCCTGCTTGCTGTTATCACTCGTTCACATGGACACCAGGATACCGTTCCATATCATACTCATAAGGGCTAATCATCTTTATTTTCAGATGGACTAAGAACGCTAAACTTACTTTGATTAGTGAATTAAGCAACATCGAAAGCATATTCGTCAACGCAATTTTTCATAAGATTCTGAAGCATTTGTGCAAACAAGCCGTCACAACTCCATGCTGATTTTTTTTCTGAAGCATGGATGAATTTTGCAGAGCGTTTGATAAGTAACTTTGGAGAACGAAAATTGAATCAAAGAGAAAACACATCTTAATTAGCCAGAACGTGTTTTTTTCTTGAAAAAGTGGCAGACATATTTTTTGCGGAGCCATTTGAAATATGCGATGCTATGCTATTCCCACAGGTACATATACCATGAATTTTGAGAAGTACATAGTTTCAGTTCTTTAATTGGGTGGAGGAACGAACGCCTCAATTAGGCCCCGCCTCCGCGGACCACTGGTCCCAACACGATGCGCAACAGTAGGACGAAAGGACCAGCAGCCCGCGGAGGCGATGCCTAATTGAGGCGTTCGTTCCTCTACTCCCTCTAATTTCCACGAAATAGAAAATCATGGCAATTGAAAATTAGCGCTTGCAAGCTGAGAACTTACGGTTGTACTTCAACAAAAAGAAAAGGTTTGCAGTTTACAGACACTTATGCGATGACACCCCAACATTGCTTTGGCGAATTATTGGAAATACCGAAATTTTTATATTTTTTTGATTAACAGCCAGGGAAGGAATACAGCAAAGGTATTCGTGAGTGTTGAGCGTAATGTACATTGGGGAGCGGCAGATATTATATTTAACAGAATGTAAAATTTTTTTGAATTCAGCACATAAAACTACCTGGATTCCACCTTGAAACTTAAGGCGGATCAAAGCCGATGCAAAGACCCTAGCGTCGCTATAAAGTGGTTAGGGCAAACATATTTGTAGTGGCTAGATTAAAGCACATATTTTCGCGATTTTCTGCAGATCATCCTCACATAGTTTCGACAGATGAGACTTACCAGAAATGAACAGGTAATTCTTTGGAAGAATATAAAAAGAAGCATTTACTGCACATTTGCTGTTACAGAAGTCATTTACAATCCACTAAACGAAGCTCAATAACAGAGCGAAGTGAAGCCAAATCAAATCCGCAAACCTCCTCTAGAGATTCCCATATTCCTGGCAACATCGGAGAAAACGGTTTTTGGACAGCGTTCGAATCATCATCCACTGCGACAAGGATATTAAATGGAGACAGATTCTTTTTTTTTTGAAGAAAACGCTTGAAGGACAATCCCAAAGTTGCCGACAAATATTTGAAGCAATTAGTTTGCGGATCGCTTGGAACAAACTGAAATGGAAGTGAACGCAGACAAAATTTGGTGGCGAATGATCCTATCCAAATTTTCTGAAACCATCTGCGCAGCCATCGTACAGACGGAAGCGGTACTGGCGCTCATTCCGATGTTTTCGAAATTTCCGGGTAACGTACATACGTATGTCGCTCTTCTATTTTCAGTTTGAATGAACGAAAGAAAAAAAAGGGATTTGACAAAATAGACATGTTTATTTTCTTCCTCACTTTCAAAAATAATCAGACCTTGTAAAAGAATCAAAGTCGAATGGTTGCGTCGTCATCGTCGCTGTCCGTGTTTTCCTGCAAGTTTTTTGTAAATAAGCAACAAGCCGAAAAACTCCGGCGGACTGACTTCACATTTGTGGTTCTCGTTAGACTGCTTCGCTTGCTGTTCCCCAGTTTCTTTTTTCTTCGCTTTTTCGTTTGAGTTCGGCTCTTTTGGGCCATGTGCCGACTCACTCTGCCTGGTATCAGATAGCAAGAGGCGTTTCTTCTGAACATGAAAATCAAATTATTGAGACTGTTTTATTATTAATATTTACTTACAATCATTTCAGGAGTGTCAAGCAGTGGCGTAGGCATGCCTATATTTTCAACGTATCCTTGTTGCTGCTGCTGTTTCTGCAACTAGAATAAACTGCGATTTTCAAATCCTTGAGAGGAGGCTTTACACAAATGGGTAATCTTGAACAGTGTTTCAAATGATGAAGCGCTTATGTTTCGACTTCAAAGGAACATCACAATGTTGCTAATTTTGCTTTTCAATAGTATTGAGCTTGGTGGTAAATTGTGAGGAATCGCAATAGTGAAGTCTTTGATGAACCATTGCTTTCAAGAGTTTATCAAAAATTTTGTCATTTTTTCTTAACTATATACTTCTAACATTGTTGATTTAAGTAATTGGGACATGTGCTGATAATTCACTGATTACATAGAAAGAAAAGCGGTTATAAGAAACGGTTAGCGGCTGAAGATCATAGTGCCACATAAGTGTTGTGGTACGCACTATCAACAATACGCTTGTGTTCAATATCTCAAAAGCAGGAAGTAGGGAAGTTTCTCGAATATAGGCAACGTAAAAGGTGCACCAAGATAGATGGTTCCTGAGCTTTGCTTTATTCCTTAGTTAAAAGTCCAGTGCATCTCAAAAAGTATCCGTTAACAAATTGTTCTCATTATTTTTCATGCAAGGTAATGTCTATGTACCTTTTCTACAATCTTACGAAAAAAAACCATCAAAAATCTGTTTCTTTCTTAGCAATTCTTAGAATATTGCAAATCTCAAGCTGTTTATGAGAACATAGCGTTAACAATTTTCATATGTACGGTACTCTTGAATTGCATCCGTCCATAGCTCCCATAGTCTTTACCAAGCTCGGAGAAAAGCTTCAGCTTTCACCAAAATCAGTCATTACTCAAAAAGATATACATCTTTCTTTAGTTCTATTGCACTGCTGATTAATTTTTTGATCTTTAAGTAAGACATTTAGTTGATAAACTCTTAATCCTCTCGTTGAAAGAGGGGGGGGGGGGAGGGAGAGGGTGAGAAAGATTTGAAACACTTTTGTCAGCACCTAAAGATAATTTTGGGCTTTTAGAGACCATATTCCGGCTCATTTCTTCACATTTGCTCTTGATTTTTGTAAGGTTCCATAGCGAACTAACAACTAGCTAATAATAGATTTTACAATGTTGATGCGTGTCTGTTTTTTATTTTGAACACCAAAACAATCTTTGTGAAGTTGAAAAGACAGTCTTCCTGCTGCCATAATCGCACTATGCACGATGTATGGAAACTTTCTGGCCTCCAGTTTTTCAAAAGAGAATTCTAACTCGATTTTTGCTGTATTTGTTCGCTAAACATGGAGAACACTGAATCGACAAAGAAAAATCTTTAAAGGCAGCGTACACCCAAAATTTCACCTTCGATGTTTTTGTCATTCTGGGGCCTTTCCATGCCGCTGATTACAGTTATGTCATTGAAATCCTCCAAAAGTCCCAAAAAGCCCTGAATTCCGGGGACCCTCTCCTCAGGGGCGGACGAGTTTCGAACTGCTCGTCCCCGTCGGCATGCCAGCAGCTGCAACAGCATGACAGCCTGCAGTTGCAACTGCAACTGCTGCATATGCTGTCGTGGTTCGTCGCCCGAAGGAGGCGCACCGCAAAAAGCAACTGCACTGTTGCAACTGCAGTTGCAGATGCAACAGCATTGCAACAGCAACTGCAACGGCAACTGAAGCTTACGCTGTCGTGGATTCGTCCTGAGGAGGCGGAGTGAAAGAAATTTGAGAGGGGTTTCTCCGCTCAGAAGCAACATTGGGAGACCGGACCAAGGCAGTTGGTCTTCTTCTGGGCCCAGTATATACACGGTATAAAAGATCTAGGAAATCCTGTAACTTAGATTTAGGGTGTACGCTGCCTCTAAGTTACTCTAAGTAACCAATTTTTCTAGTTTCCTTGAAGAGGTGGAGTGCGTATTGATTTGCTTTACTTTTTGACCTCATAACACGGAGCGACTTTCCATTTATTCAATAATAAAAAGTCCCAATACTAGACTTTCTCTATATAACAAAAGTTTTCCAGTAGCATGCAAACAAAGTTTTCAATGTCGCTAGATAACAGCAGACAGTCTTGCAAGTTTGCGTTGAATTTAATTCGTTAATTGGAAGTCTTAATTTGATATGTATCTGTAACGCAACTCTCTACTCTCATCGTGTTCGTTTTCATGAATATGTAATTATGCTTTTGAGGATAAAGCATTTTTGGAGTTGGATTCTCTGAAGAAAAAATTTAAAAACTGGATCTCTTTCCTTCAAAATACGGTCTAAAAGGATTTCAGATAATTTACATAGTTTTCTGTGCAACATGTTTTTTTCTTTGTAAGAAGCATTTCAAGGAAAGAGGTCTGGAAAACTATATTGATTGTGTTTCAGATTAAAAAAAATCATGGAAGCCTGGTTTTACTGAAATGATGGTTTCTAGGTTTGATGAGCACAATAAAACAAAAAGCGCGTCAAAATGAAATGAAAGTCTTCCGGCCATTCTCCGAACAACCTGTACAAAATAAACGCTCAAATTACAAACTCTTGATTGAGAAGCATACCGGTCTCAAACCAGCTGCTCTCATGTTCTGCAATTCTGTGCAGAAATTGTAGGTTGCTCTACATCAGTACCAGTGACGGCCCCGGGATTTCCGTCCGGGGGGGGGGGGGGGAGGGAACGCTAAATTAATTTCAAATGAAGGTGCGTGGCGACAGCCATATCCCCGAGAAAATTCCTCAGAATGCTAATTTGAATTTTTAAAAGATTTTAAAATTATTTTGATTATTTACAAAAATACACGAGTCACTTGCACATTTTTGTGACCCATGCAGTAATTTTCAAAAATTCGGCGTGATGCGTTCCCGACTGCGCTATACTGATATCAGATTTACAAGATTGTTTTGAACAATATTTTACACGTAAAGAATTAAAAGCATAAACAGCAGTTGAATTTCAATCTTGTGCTTGTAAGGGAAAAGCTTGCCTTTAACTAGCATAAGGATTCGCTCTGTTATTGTGAAATGGATCTCTCCAAAACTTTGGCACCACATCGAGAGCTTGAATGTCAGAAATGAAAAACACGATTTTGCGTAATCATAAAAGATGGGCCATAGGTGCAATGGGCGGAGCAATTTCTCTGCCCTCACCCTCCCTTCACTTTAAGGCCGGCTTCTGTATGACTCCCTTCACCTGAGGTTGAGACTAGGGTCAAGGCATAACGGCAGAATAAAACACCTATATCAAGTGGTGCACATTTTGTTTAAGAACTGCAGTCAGTGTTTGACACGACTGCATTCCTACAGTTTTATATGAAAAGCGCAATCTTAAGATTTCCTGTCTCACTTAAAATCAAAGTGGTTTAGTTTCTAATAGCGAAATAAACCTAAAAATTTGAAAGATATGACTCTTTGAATAAGCAGCACCGTTCAAAGTATATATTGTTGCAGGGAAGAATTATGCAAGAGTGGGAAGTCTAGTCTGCTCAATGACAGAAGCACGTTCACTGAGGAGAATCAAATTTTATCTTCTTGAGAGCGTGATAGAAAATAAGGAAGCAGTAAGATCCCTTAATTTTAGAGCTTTCCACTTACATGCGAAGTCTCGCAAAATACCTTTCCTCCTCCAAACTAAGACATAATATAACTTACAAAATTAGCTGATATTGTGAGTTCGACTGCACGGAATCGACTGGGTTTCTGTAGGCGGAACGCACGCGAACTTGCCTCAACGCGGCTGCCGAGTACGGGCGCTATGATCACACATGCGCGCGAATGCCAATTTGTCCTGCAAGAGACACGAACGCGCGCGTTTAGCCTGGTCGATTCCGTGCAGTCAACTATAACCAGGGTCAAGCAAGGGGTGTGGCACACGATCGCTGGTTACGACAACCCCCCCCCCTGATTGCTGTCTTAATAACCCCCCCCCTGAACTATATACCTAAGATAGCATTACCAAAGTTAAGAAAGAGGTCAGGCACAAGTTTTTCGACCCCCCCCCCCCTCCCATGAAAGCCCTCAAACGACCCCTTCTTCCTCCTCTTAACCTCTGGACCTCAAAGTGTGACATTCTGGAGGACACCATCTTTTTCTAGAGAGTTTTCAGATTTCTGAGAGCTGTACGCCCGATTTTCTGTGACTGCACTTTACAATCACACGTAATTTGACGGCTGATTTTGATCTGAATGGGCACATTGAAAGGGTTCCAATGTAGCAAGAAGAAGCTACGTGCTCAATACTCATACCAGCAATGGAGCGCTTTCTGGATTTTGAAGGCAAGTTAAGGGGGTGCGGCACACCCTCTTAAAAGCTACGGCAGCCGCAGCTTTTAAGGGAGTGTGCCGCACCCCATTAACTATATCAAAAAAACATTTTTAGCGGACAGTACTTATATGAATCAATAGCCTAAAACTTGTAGATTTCATAGGACTGTTTGGAGCCTGATTTGTCTTCTTAGCTCTAAGTAATATTTGGTGAAAGCACAGCGATCAAAAGCGAAAAATGGGAAAAACGAGATTTTGGTTGGCTTCTAATTCCACAGTTTGCAGGTCTTCTGAAGCGGGAATCCTGAGGTGGACAAAGAAGGAGTAGTGCTTTGTCTTGAGTGCAAAAATGGATGGCTAATTCGCCTTTGAAACAAAGCTAACCATGTTGGAATTTGACCATTACATTTAGGTAGCCTAGTATCTTGTTATCATTATTATCAGATTACCCAACTACGACTCCCTCCCCTTTTGACTCCTCAATACGACCCCCCAGGTGTGGCGTGCCGCACCCCACGCTTGACCCTGACTATAACTAAGTGAAATTCCTCATACCTCGCTTCGCAGAACAGCTAGAAAAAAGAACGGTTTACGTCGGCTTCTCGTTCTCCTAGGCTGCGTTCATACTGGTTCTCAAACTTGAAATAGTTCCAGCACAGCGTGCAGTCCGAACGCTTTGCTGGAACTGTTCCCGAACTTTTAGATCATATGAACGCAGCCTTACCTATCGAATGGTATATGAACGTTGGTGCATAAAGCTTTCCCGCTTCAAAAAAATTTTGTTCCGGCGAATCGTGAAAGCCAAGCCATTGAGGGGGCGGTGTGGGGTAGGTTATGATAAATATCTCCACTCCATTTTTGGAGAGTCGCAAGTTTTTTCCTTCAACAATCTATAAAGCATTAAATAGCTCACGATGCGGGGATTCGACATAAACCGCCTTTTTTTCCTAGCGTCCCTCTACGCGCGCGAGTTCATGACATTTAAGCTGAGAACATGCGCGTTTTGTGCGGAAATTTTTAAATGAATGAAGGCACCTAATTGTCTAACTATTCTGTGGAGCATGACTTTGCCATTCGACGTAGACTGTCCCTTTTTTCTAGCTTTCCTTCTCTTTCAGAAATGAAGCGCAAAGTAATCACATAAAATCAGCTGATGCGGCAGCTAGATAAAACTTTCACATGTGAATTCACAGAAGACCTGAAAAAAAGCGACGGTCTACGTCGATTCTACGTGTTCCAAGCTTTCGAATGATGTGTTTACTAATGAGATATAAAGTTTCCTGAATCAAAAAAAGTCTTTGTTCGATGACTTTTCAATAACAAAGCATTGAAAAATTCTTCATACTATACCTTTGTACCACTTAAATTCCCTCTGTGACCCCAGTCCCACTCGGCATTTAAGCTTATGCCAGCATTCCCCAAGGCCCAGTTACCCCCCCCCCCCCACCCCTCAATTCTTCTTTTAACACGTTTCGGACCGCGAAATCGCGCGCGGCAAAAAGGGTGTACTTTCAGCCGTTAGCCTACTAAGGGACCTTATTTCGCAGCCTGTGGGCCACATTTGTAATCAGCATTTCAGATAAGCTCCATATCCAAAGTTCTGAGTGAATTCGAAGTGTTTGAATTTTGTGAGGGACTTTTGTGCTTTCTTGGAAGATAGGAGTAAGAACTCAGTTCCAAATAGTATTCAAAAGTATCCATGATGTACACGGTACACATCATTATTGAAGCTACGGTTTTTCTCTTTGGAATCGAAGCAAAGGAAAGTTGCGACGTCGCACGCGTCGTTCGCGTTGCCGCACTTAGTTGCAACTGATGTTCGACTTGCCCTCATATCTCCTAAACAAATATACGTGGCACAGCTCTACAAAGTCATGAAAAGAAGGAGCTTAAGCATTTGACTTAAATACCTTGCGCAAAAAGAAAACCTCTTGTATAGGTTAAAAAGAGCCTTCAAAGCGAGTGCTGCAGCATGTGCAACCGGTCCGAAACGTGTTAATAAAGCTTTCTTGAATCAAAAATGTCTCTGTTCAATGACCTTTCAATAACAAAGCATTAAAAATTTTTTCATATTACGCCTCTGTGCGAATTAAATTCTTTCTGTGACCCCAGTCCCAGCCGCCATTTAAGCTTTCCTCAGTCACCTCAAGGTTCAGTTACCCCCTTCACCACTTCCCTTACTCTAGGTCAGAAATAGCCAAAACGCCCTTTACCTGGAGAGGACCTTGCTCCCCTAATGCACTTATGGATGGGACTATTAATCATATCAGTTGACCACGCACAAACATGGAATGGTTAGGCTCCCGCCAGAGTGCCGAAGCCACGTCAGCGCTTCCCAGCGCCGAGCCAGCGCCGAGCTGTCCCATTAGGTCGGGGCGGGGCTAGCTGACCCTGTGCGGGCAAGGGCTACCAAAGCTTCTGGCAGATTCGATCGATAGTCGGTGCATCTATCTGGCTGAGAACTAGGTCAGCTAGCCCCGCCCCAACGAAATGCACGTGTATCGATTGTGTACCGGCACAGCACTGGCGTGGCTTTCGCACTCTGGCGGGAGCCTTATTGCAACATACCTTTCGCCGTGGCTTAGGTACAGGGGGACTAGCGTCGATAGAGTCAATCTAAATAAAAACGTTTTGCCAGAAGTATAAAAATCAAGGATGAGTTTTGGTGCCAACTGACTTTTTCATTCAATTGCTTGACAAGTTCGTTGTTTCTGATCATCGTTGTGCTACTTATGTCTCCTTTATCTCTTCGCGGGTTGTCGTTTAGCTTGTCCACCTTCGTAACTGATGGCGGCGGCGGAGCTTGTCGTTTAGGAACCCTTTGAGAAACATCCGCTTTGACGTTTTTCGCTGCTCCTATTTCTTTATTTCTGTCTTTCACTTTCTCCCTTTCTGCCAGCAACACAGCAGCGATAAGGCGTGTTCTCTCCTTCTTTCCCAACTCTGCCATCCATGGTGGCAATTTCTCATCTTCGGTAGGCGCAGGTAGGGTATGAGATTCATAAAAATTGCTCGACGACGGAACCGAAACGACATGTTCTTTACTGCTTGCTTCAAGTTTAACAGGGAACGGCTGTGGCTGTTGTTCGTTTATCTGAAAATTATTCCAAATACAAAAATAGAAGGGGTCAGAGATTGCATTACTCTTCTAGATAGTGCTCGAAATGTCACAAAAGAAAATACGATAACAACATCTTTTTTCGAATGCAATATTTTGGATCATGTTATAATTTGTGACAGTGTTCGGTGCATCTCCATAAGCGGATAATCTGCATTATTTTTTGAGCGACGACTTTTTTGAAAAATTGGGCTAAAGTCGCAAAATACTCAAAGAAGAAGGTAAACATTCAGTTTAGCGAGCTCCTCACAATTTCTTTGCCATAAAATAATAGAATATGGTTTAGGGTGTAATAGCAAGTTTTTTTTTGTATGGCATCCTGCAATACTAGTTATAGAAAGCTATTTGACAAAGCCTTGCGATTGAGTTTTGACAGCTTATGTTCAATGAATATGAGCACTACAGAATAAAGTCGAATAAATAATTAGAGCAGCACTATAAGGATCTTCTATTGCATCTTTCTTGGAGTGATATGTAATCTTCCTCTTGTATTTTGTAACGATAATCACTTACGGGAGTTACGGGAGGGGACAACGGGGCTTTCTGAACTGAGTTTCTCACTTTTTCACTGTTTGCTCGTTGGATGAAGATATCCTGCAGTTTCCTATAATGTAGAATATTCGTATTCGCAATTCGCAGGCCAAAGTAAACCGTCTATGCCATTTTAAGTCGGACAGATTCGTATGATTTTCTAATGTTGTGGCAATCAAATTTTATCGAATACTTAAGGGAAGCTCTTCCCATTTCTTTGCACCGTGTGCAATCTTAAACTTGCAAAAATTAAGTATGTGACATGCAAGTCAGATGAAAACACCAAGATATGAAGGTATGATTAAGGCACGTTCGGTGAAGGTACCAGTGCGGAAACTTTAGGCTGATAAAAGACCACACCAAATTCGTAAGTTTGGCTCAATACGAAAGGTTTTTGCAATGCTTAAACAATTATTTGTCATTATCAGGTAATTTGCAGGACTGCTTTCTGCGCCTTTGTCTTATTTGATCGAAATATTTGCCCATCCCCAATAATAACATTTTTTTTGGTAATTCTCTGATTTAAGAAGGCACTCCGCTTTGACAGAGCACTTCATGGGAATTGACAAACATGCTTGCTAGTTATCAATAAAGGTTTTTGATCAGGGCCAAAGGAAACTTAAAGGCAGTGGACGGGCAAAATGGACCCCTGTCAGATTTTGGTAGTTTTGGGTAGTGGACCCCCCCAATTACACCGTAGCCCCAACCCCACTTCCAGATGATGCGCTAAGTCCTGAAAAAAGCGCTTCAAACTTCCACCAATAACGCCCACTCAATGGAAGTGGGCGGGGCTGGTGGAGTTTTGAAGCGCTTTTTTCAGGACTTAGCGCATGAATTGGAATGTGGGGTTGGGGCTACGGTGTACTTGGGGTGTCCACTACCCGAAACTACCAAAATCTGACAGGGGTCCATTTTGCCTGTCCGCTGCCTTTAAGTAGTTTTCAGTTTCTAGGCTATACTGGAGATAAATGAAGATGCTTCTTCACCCTGTGCAGAAAGCCTACTTTCGGGGATTCAATTTTTTGTCGTTGTTAGGAAAGTTAACTGGTAAATGAGACTTAATCGCTCTTGCTTCACTATGGTCCATCCAACATTAATATAATCAATTGTCGTGTAAATACTTGCTAAATAGCTACTAGGTTGTATTTTTTGACATCAATTCGGCTTCAGCTATTTATATTGTGGAGTAGATTTTCCGCTTAATATACTGTGCTTGCACTGAAGGTGAAATGCGGTAAAATTGCGCGTGAAAAATAGCTGCGCCTGTAACGTCGACCAATTGCGCGCGCAAAAGGCTGGCATTAATGGCTTGGCTTCTTTTTCACGCGCAAATTATACCGTATTTCACCTTCAGTGCAAGCACACCATTAAGCGGAAAATCTACTCGACTGTATGTGGGAGTGGATGTGAGTGTGATGCTATCGAACAAGTTGCTAGCAAATTTTAGTGACTAGCTCAGACAATGCTAACAATTTTCTTAAGAGAAATGCTTTTTAGCACCTACGTTTTGCTTAAAATCCCGCAACAGTGTGACTTTTATTGAATTCCAATAGATACTAGAAACAATGAAAAACTCCTTTCAGCGATACCTCAGATGCGAAGATCTAATTAGGTTCTGCATCGAAGGGAAAACAAAAAACGGACAGCACTCACAGATTAATATTAGTGTGTATTGTAAGATATCAGAACATAGAAAAAAAATAAAAAACCTATACCTGACTTTGCCATCACTATCACCGGTATTCTCAGTGCTGATTTGTCGGACTATTGGTGGTGCTGGAGCTTTGTTCCTTTGATTCGGACTCTCTTCCATTGGCTTTGATGAACTCGGAATAGAAACGCTAAAAATATTCTGTCAGAAATTCAGTTCAAATTTTCGTTTTCACTTGTATACGAAACGAGAGGCTTGTTTCTAAATTCAAGTTGATGAAGCAGCAGCTCCTTTCTGTGATAATCTGATTGTAGCTCCACGTTACTTGAGAAGAAGCTATTAAACTAGCCGTTCTCTTACATGCTAGTTGATAGAAAAATAGAAAGTTTTGAGGTCTGAAAAAGAACTGTTTTTTTTAGGAAAGATTTCACTTTAAACTCTTCATTCGTTTCGAAATATGGAAAAAGCTTTGTGAATTTGCTCTGTTGCCTGTTTTCCATTACTCACTTTTTTAAAAACGTATCGACTATCAATTAGAGAAAGGAACTCTTGTTTCGTTGTCGAGTCTATGAAATGCATCGCATGAATGGGATATTAGTCTCGATTATTTTGCGGTTCACAAGTCCATGAGTGTGTGGAACCGCGTGATGTTCGCTTAAATACTTCACTACATTAATTTCTGCTAAATTTGGCCTCTTTCAAACTAGCCACACCAGCTTCACCTGCAACAAAGATGCTAAAAAAGAATAATTTCATCGCTAATATTCTTCAGTACTGTTGTGCCAGACAGGTTTGGTAGGTGTTCTTTATTCCAATCAAAGCCTAACATTTCGACGCCTTTCGTCTTCCTCAAAGGCCTAACAATGGCTTAAAGCGTCATCTGTGAAAAGAGGCCATAAAGCACCATCCTCATTCCTGCTAGTTCTCTCGATCTTCGCTCAACATCCCTACCGCAAAAATTGTCAGCGCCATAAAATGAACATACTGTTGAGAACACCGCTATACCAGTTTCCGCACCGGAAGTGATGGTCTTGGCGGAAGGACTAAACCATACTATAAATGCACATAGCATGTGATCTATAGACTGCATAACGATATGAATGGAAGGAAGTCGTTAGTGACTGACAAGCATTCATTTTTATTGTTCATTGCTGGATTTTTTGAAGAGTATTTTCACTTCTAAAAAGATCTATGAGACTGGAACGGGAGAGACTTAGCTCGGGCAGAAGTGATTTCACTGACAACATGATGAATCAATGAGATAGGGATGAAGTGTCAAAAATAGAGATAATTATGCCTATGAATAGGTCACAACAATGCCATCGATATAAGGTTGAGCGAGGAGACGCTTCACATATAAAAATTACGATGCTATTTTTGATCATCGTACGCGTTACACGCCCAAATGCCCGTAGCTTCTCGATTGTGTCACCGATAGTCGCACGCACTCTACTATGTAACGACTTGTTTTTGTATACGAATACAAAGTGAGAAAACACATTGAGCGCAAGGCATAACTTAATGTGCACCGTGCATTTTAGCTTAGTAGTAGCACTCAAGAACACTAGAAGGCGTTATTGGTTACGGCTGATTTCAGGGTTTTAAGGCAAGTACCGGTCATTTGAATCCTTCCAACCACTATAACTTGAAAAATAATTTTTTTAAAAAATATTTTGCAAAGACAATGCGTCTACAAAGCACGCTCGTTTTATCCTTCACAACATTTTTTAGGCAATATGCAAAGATGGCGAAAAAATACGATTTGAAAGCTACCCGGTTCGTCAGGATTCTCAAGCTCAGCTTTATAGAAATAATATGCAGTTGTTGTATAGCAAAATTCAGGTTTACCCAATTTACTGACCTAGTAAAAGTGTCATTAGGGAAGAGTGCTTGAATGCTGCGAAAAGAATGAGCTTGGTGATTTGAGAAAATATTAGAAATGTCTTATTTCTGGTAGAAAAGATTGCGGACAAAAAGTTTCAAATTTCGACAAATTCTCTGGCAGGTAGAGTAATATTTCTATATTTTATTTTATATATGCACTCATGGTGCGCCAAAACAACTCAACAACCTATTAGATCTAATATCGCATTCATGTCATCTAGCTCACAAGATACCTAAAAATAGCGTCTTAACTTCTCACTATACATTTCGGGCAGTTGTTTCTGAAAAAATAACGACATCTGGGAATTTCACGAGCCATAAATACTATGTATGGGCGCACATTCACATTTACGCATTATTCACACTTGCACGTCAGCTTTCACAGTCACTGAATTCGACCTTGTAGTGATAGCAATTTACAATCGTTTTTTGAATTATGTTTGTGTTTCGGTTTATGAATTCGAACGAAACTGCAGGCTATGCTTAAAAAACCTCATTAAGTAGGACGGCTCTTTCAAACTCGTAAGTAGTATATAATACACTCAAGGTTTTCGCAGGGCTTTTGAGAGCCCCTCACTTTCTTGGATGGAAAGTCACTACTTTGCACATTTTAGTGTCCAAGGTAACAAATTTTTGAAACCCTGCGCCCAAGCCATGCAAGAGAGGACTTGAGGACTTCATAGAATTTTGACGAGCCAATCCAGAATAAAATCCTTAGAGATATTCCATACTTTCAAGAAATTTCAAGAATATTTTCGCTTTTGTAAGTAAATTAAGTCAATCTTATGCTCATATAGACCACTTTCAGAAATTTCGCGACGAATTCTCAGAACTGGTCTCTTGGCTCCTTTTGCCCTTGGTGTGCCGTAGGCACTTACTCAGACTTTGACTTCCAATACGTTATAATTCTAACTTTCTCTAAATATTCAAACAAAATTATTTCTTAGTAGAAACAAAAGACCTAACCTCTGGCCTCCTCCAGTAGCAGTGTTCTCTTTACTGAACAAGACGGAAGTTGCTTTAACAGACGGGAACTCCTAGAACAGAAAATTAATGAAACGGTCTCTCAAATACATTCCACATCTTACCTCACATGAAGCTTGTTTAATAACATGTTTCACATCTTCCTCTCCATTTCGAGCGCTAGCGCTACGTTTGAAGGAACTCTGAGTGAAAAAAAGCTTTCTAAGGTCAATTCTTAGCTTTCTTGGTTTTCTAGCTAAAAAGGGGATGTGGCGGAATATAGGCTTGGCAGTTTTAATAACAATAAGGAGGAAGGGCGATACTTAGGGGTGAAGTAATACTTGAAATTGGTTGACAGAATATTGAAAAATTTACTGCTATTGCCATCATTCGTGTCTGCTCACCCTTCAGCGGGGAGATGATACTACGTGAAAAGCAAACTTACACTCTTGGAAATGCGGCCTGCATTCGCGTCAGAGCTTTTCGAGCGTTCACCTGCAACATTCCGTGAGGATCCTTGACGAACATGTTTGGGTGCGGAAGTAGCACCAAAATTCTGGGTAGTATACTTCTTCTAAAAATGTTTCGCTCAAAATATTCTTGTCAAATGCAAGAAAGGCACTGCCTGTTTTGTGTGTCTTCAAACACTATCAGTCCGAACGCTTCTCAATGCATCAAAGACAGGAATGCAGGTAAAACAATTGTAGTATATGAAATACGCTGTCCCCAAAGTGAAGCATTTTATTTTTTTTGATTTCTCTCGCTGTAAGCCATCCCGTTTCAAGCTGGCTTCAAGCTACAAACATGCGGCTACTGTAAAACAATAGCAGTTTTAGCCCCTAAAACCCTCTCGATATGTAAACTCAGCAAGGGAATATACCCTTTCTCATATTAACTTTTAGAGTATTTTTGTACCACAATAGAGCCAGTAATCACTGCATTATCACCCATAGCATGTCTATGTAAAATTATTACAATCTCGAAAAGGTAAATGCGAGAATGGAGAGTACGGCAAACAATGACCCATTGACGGCGACGCCTAATTTTCAAGGCGGCGCTGTGGGACGACGTGATGCACAACATATTTACTCTCTTACATTCTCTCGAAAATTTGGCGAAAACGAAAACATGTCAGAAGGTCAAAAAACGAAAAAACTTCTAAGATGACCTTATAATAAATATAGTAGGTGTTTAATTTTTCATACATTGTTCCTTAGTTCTACTGCGCGTATATACACCAAGTCTCGCGCGATTACATTTTCTCTGCGCTGCAAACGAGCCATTTTTCTATTTTCTTAATAGTGGGAAATTTTCAGAAAAAAGCTTGCCACAACTTTCAATCACATAAATTATCAATAAAACTTGTAAATTAAGCCCTGCAGGCACTTGTTCATGTACCTACCGAGTTTCATACCGCATGGTCATTTGTGCGCTGCAAACGAGCTATTTGAATTCACATTTTCATTTACCAGTTTTGCAAAATTTTTGAAAAAAAATGCTCATTACACCTCGCATTCACATAAGTTTTTCATAATATTTCATACTTTGCTTCTACTAGCCTCTTTCCGTTCGCTTACCTAATTTGGTGCTATATCGTTACGCCTGCATTGAGAACTGATCATGTAATCATGCTGTTCAACGGCATCGCTTATGTGACGTCGCGCACGCGGCAATTAGCGGCGACGCGACGTAACGCGCGCGACCTCTACCGTGCGTTGAGGCTTATGAAAACTACTTCCCAATGAATCAGATGTATAAGGTAATAAGCATGATTCGACCTTTTTTTGCTTACATTTGAAATCTTCTTCCGGGCTCCGCCCGGACCCCGCAAAAACGGTTTCCCCCTTGCTTTTTTCCCCCAAAACGATTTCCAGCTTGTCAGCCCACCTCGTGCCGGGCCCTGGTCTTTGTTGAAAGAAACGCTGAGATAACATATCGCTTAATTTTGCATGCCTTTCACAACTTATGTCCTGTGCATAATACTAAAATTGGCGCAAGACTTCCCATCAAGTTCACGGTACTACTGTAGAGCACACTGAAGGAATTTTATGTAAGAAAGCAGAAGTTGTAAACCTGATGGCTAACTATCTCCTCGAGCTTTGATACTTCTTCGGCAACAGGACTGGCTTTGCACACATCGCTTGATTCGAACCCAATATGATCCACGTGCCTATCGCACTACTTTTCATGAGAATGTATATATGGGATTATGTGTATTAAGTTCGTTCGCAATTCTCATTGCAGATTGTCCTCGTTATTATGATATGATATGCCGAAAGTTTATATGCGGCCGAAAAAAAAACGGAAAACTGCTCTACCATCCTACGTTCATTATCCATAAACTGCAAGAAAACATCGGCTGGACCAAAAAACCGAAAAGGCTATACATTTTAACTCTCTTCTCTCTACATTTTCCATTTTCAATGTTAAATTTCAACGAGTTTAACCCAAAAAAGAGTCTACTTATGCAGATACTGTCACTGGATTGTTAGGCGACCATCGTTTTACCAGATTGCCTTCCGATGCCACACGTTAAATCGAAAAGATGCCTTCGTGAAATTGAATTTCATGAATTTTTGATATCGCTGAACACTCCGCGGAAATCATGGCATTCTATTCAGGTTTTTTCATCTGTCTCTTGAACATCCACACCTATTGAAAACGCATCATGAATCATCGAAAAGATTTTCACCCAATTATTTTTCAATTGAAAGGTTCAAAAATTTTCAGATATAGTCAGGGAAAATAAAGCAGGAAATTTGATCCAGGACAAGAGATTTTGAAAGCACCACATTTATTGCTATAAAAAATGATGGGAGAAATTTGTAAATAAAAAAATGCGAACGAACTTACTACACAATCTAATAATTATATAGCTTACCTGAAGTCGGACGGCTTAGATATATCTAGCTTTTTCAACCTTCGCGATCTTCTCACAGGTGGAATCGGATGTGGTGACGTCTTACTGGCCTTAACGTCATCGCTTAACATAGTGTTTGGAAGTTTCGAAGTAGCTGCAAAATTTCGTTGACTTTATTTTTATTGTCAGTCACATTGATATGCGCTGTTGACTAGATTGTCTAATTTTTCGGGATTAAACTTGAAATATACTTGTCCACTTTGTTTGGCAAATCTTAAAGGAAAAAAGATTAAGCTCTATAACTGTTCACAAGTGTATATTATCCTGGCATCGAATGCGAATGACAGGCCAAGCTTCTTGACAAAGTATTGGCCTTATACTCCCTATCAAGCCATCATTATTGTGAAAGCTGAAAGTTTGGTACGGCTGTGGCATTAGCGGAAATGGGTTTGGCAACCATAGCATGGTTCATTCATTGACGCCACTTTTTACGAGTATCAGTGTATTCGAGAGCCTTAGAAATTTAGGAGGAAGTAAGCAAAGGAAAGGAGCCGGAAGAACATGTGAACAAGGAAAAAAGCGACCTCGTACGCTAGGTAAAGCAAAGATTTTAAAAATGAAGTGAGTTTTTGTTGATTACATTAGGAGGAGTCTTACTGTGAAGAAGTAAATGCAAGAGATGCGCATTTTTTCATCCTTCTTGTTGCCTTGCGTGTACCCTCTGCTGCAACTGGATTGGCGGCTTGAAGGTGGGGCCTGATCTAAAGGTTAAAGAATGGTCATAGAGCATGTTGCAAGTAAGACGCAGCCGCCAACATTGTTGAATCAAAGGGTATGCACCTGTTCGTGACTCTTAGAAGACATTTGTCCGGCACAAAATAAATTTAATTTTTTTCTTGTTGTTGCAAGGTCGTATTGTATGACTTTTCTAAATAATTCGAGCATGTTTCTAGTGAATGTAAGCATGTTATATGTAAATTTATACTGCTGGGATTGTTATGTAACTTATCGCGATGCGGATGGTACATATGAACAGTGACGCTCATGGATGAGCAGTGCGTAGCGCACTTCATTTTGACTATGCGGATGCAGAAGTGCTCAGATATTGTTTTCTCGCGGGTATACTACCTGCATTCTGTTGCGTTGTATTCAGGGTGTTTAGGAGGGTACTTACACGAATAGCTCAACCGAATGTGGGCGATACACAAATACGTCGTGTAAGGCGAGACCACTTTGAACTGGGCAGGGTGCTGCTCATTATGCCAAATTTGGCCAAAGATTCAACTCGTTCTACAAGTTTAGGGGTCCGTTCATGTTTGGAGATGGATTTGAAACATGTTTTGTTGAGCAGGATTTGAAACATGTTTTGTTGAGCATTCATTAAATTTTTTGATCTGAGCTGAACAAAATGTGTTATCGGTTATTGCAGCTATAGTGTGGACCCCGGCCAGCTTCCCATAGGTACCTGCGCGACGCACCCGCAACGCACGCCTTCAGTGCGTCTCGTGTCTTAGCTTCTGATGGATATCCTCCTTTCTTTCTCTTTTTTTGTTTTTGGTGTACTATATTCTCTCTATTTCAGGTATAAACAATTCGCGATGACCGGTGACGAGATTATACGTGCTCTAAAAGTTCTAAGAGCTTCAGCCTTGTGTAGTAGTCTTGTGTTTTCCCTTTTTTCTCTGAAAAATTGAGATTTGATTGGATACTGAGATAATATTTTTTCAAAAGCTTCTTGTATATAATAAGAGTCCCCTTCCGCTTGATGTGTAAGGTGTAGACAGTGTTTCAAGTCAAAATTGAGCATTCCGAGAAGCCAGTAGGCATTTGTTTACTAAAATATCCACTTTTTTGGAATATTTGACCACTCTAGTTTCTGTCTACGAAGAGGAATGTTTTAAGAATGCTGTTGTTCTTTAATTTTTCTACATTTAGCTATTACCACGTATCCATCAGTGCAAGTTTGGAATATGCATCCATTGATTGAATTTGAGGTATTTATGGAACTTGTCTGCGTTTCATTCTTGCATACTTCTCTTTCGTAGGGAACCTAGAGGTTTCCACATTACATTTTTCTCCTTTGTGAGAATAGATATGCTCTACTGCTCATGAGTGAGGCAAGAGGCATTAAGAAGGGCGCGGGCTGCGTGCGCGCCGCGGAAGTACCTATGGGAACCTGGCCGTGGTCCACACTATACCTGATCTTCCATAATGCCTAGTCACATTCCTCCATACAATTTAAACATCGTCATTTTGTTGAGCGCAAGGACTGCTCAAACGCTGAGGACCACGCGCGGAGCGGCTGAATTGTCGCGAGAGCACGACTTGTATAATGGCGGACTTGTATTGAGGCAAGCCTTTCACCTCACGACGCGTGCTCCGCAGGATGTCCACTCCGTGCGGTTGACGAATCAACTGTATATTCTATAGGCTTGTATAAAAACCTGATAAGTACCCCGCGGTGCTACTTCAGTCTTACCAAACTTCGCAATCAATCATTTGTAATGGCAGCATTCGCAAAGCTATCCTCGCCATCACATCCTACAAGCAGATGAGCAATGAATCGCTATAGAAAGTTGTGGAATTTGCCGGCAAATGGCTGTGTTGTGTTAAGTCGCGTTGGACAAGTAAGCAGCGTGCATAAGCAGTATTGCCTGTGCAAAAGTGTTATGTATTCAAATGTCTTAGACAGCAAGAAAACAGAGCACACTCTAGTTTAGCGAAACCTGTATATTTTTTTTACGTGGAACTCCCAATGGTGGGCAGTTTTACTTATGAAACATTACAAATTTGGTGGAAACTTGGCGTAAGTAATGTGTGTATCCCATTACTTATGACTGTCAATTATGCAGGCGCCGCGCGCACAGGCTGGCAGTAATCAGTTGCGAGAAGAGCTCGGGTGGCCGACTCGCAAGGCTACTATACCATTTTTTGTGAAGGTTTTGCACTATCATATCAAATTATATTGTTTGATGGAAGATTGGCCCCAAATCTTGCATAAATGAAAAAGATAGCGAGTGGAAATATGGAAATTAATACGCCCCACTGTAACGCCGCGTTGCGGCAATTTTTAATTGACACCCACAAGTAATGCTCCCCCCCCCCCTCCCCCTCCCCCTTAGGTGACTTATCTGACATGCTGATTTTGAAACGTTTTGAAATCGCATGGTAAGAGATTCTTCCTAAGGGTTGGGCCAGACTGCGCGGCGTACGCCGCGTTTGCTCCTATGATGAAATATATTGAGCGTACGCTGCGTACGCCGCGTACGCCGCTTCCCCGCGAAGTCTGGCTCAACCCATAAGAAAGGAGGCATCATTCTCGCTACTATGGATATCTTTCTTTTTCTTTTTCTATCTCGCTTTTGGAGGTACCCTGAAGGTAAGCTCCTACCCTGTTACCCGCGCATAATGGACTCCGGTTAAAGCCATAAAAGATTAGTTTTCACTGTTTTGTGTGATCCCCTGGCGATTTCGAAGGGAGCACCTTTCATTTTCAAATTCATTTATCTTTCCAAAAACTCAATGAAAACACTGTAAAAATTGTGCTGAATATATATTAGGCAGTCCGGAAATTAATGTAAGCTTTGAATTTCAAACCCAATAAGTCATACATTTCTCATTTCTGAATAGGTTGCAAGGAATCATTTGATAGGGCAAAGCAAGCTCTACAGAATGGCGATCTTGTTCTTGCAACAGCTCTCATTAACCTTGAGTTTCGAGCCAAAAACTAAAATGTTCAGCTGCACGAAAAATTGAGAAAAATCGTAACTCAGTTCATAAAATTTCTACAACAATTCTAACTTGCTCACGTAAACACTATCCACATAAGACGTCTATATACGCCGTTGTCGTCCTTTTTCACCTTTTGGAAATCAAGAAAACGAAATTTTCGTGCATTTTCCAAAGTGATGCTGTGCAGTCCTCACATGCGTAGTTGTGTACTGCATATCTGTAGAAGTGCAAACGTAAATTTTCAGCTTTCTACAAGCTTTGGTTCTCGAGAAATATCGAATATGGCTTTTCTTAGTCAGGTGGTCCAAGCCAAAATTCAAATTTCTTGGGAATTAAAGCTTGTAGAGAGCTGAGAACTTACGTTTATACTTCTACAACTTTGTAGTACACAACTACGCATGTGTGGACTGCACAACATCACTTTGGAAAATGCACGAAAATTTCGTTTTCTTGATTTCCAAAAGGTGAAAAAGGACGGCAACGGCGTATATAGATGTCTTATGTGGATAGTGTTTACGTGAGCAAGTTAACTTTAGTTTTTGGCTCGAAACTCAAAGTTAGTGAGAGCTGTTGCTAGAACAAGATCGCCATTCTTAGAGCTTGCTTTGCTCTATCGAATAGTATCTTGCAACCTATTCAGAAATGAGAAGTGTATGACTTGTTGAGTTTGAAATTCAAAACGGACATTGATTTCCGGACTACCTAATACTTCAGCACTGCTAAACATGTTTTCGACAGGAAAAATGGAATCTATAGAATACGAGTTTTTGAAAGTCCCTTGCTCGCGAAGAGCGGTTCGTCGAAAGGATTTCACTAATATCTACTGTAGACATGTTCAGCAGTGCCGTAGTATATCCTCAAAACAATAATATCCTTTTACAGCGTTTACATCAAATTTTCAGGAATATAAATGTCTATAAAAATGAGAGGTCCCGAATTTTCCGGAGGTCCGGGGGAATCCCCGGATCCCCAGGGGTCACCTCTCAGATCCAAAATTATTAAAATTCCTGATAACTTCATTTAACTTCCTTTTGCGTCAGTAACATCATGCAAACAAAGTGTTGATTACCACCCAAAAGTTTGTGCGAGTCAGAAATTGAAAGTGGCTGACAAGCGTGCTTACTCCATGTTAAGATTGCAGTTTCTCATAAATATCACACGTTACGCAAAGCTTAGGGTTGGGCCAGATTTCGCGGCGTACGCTCGGTGTATTTCGCCACAGCAGCGTATGCGACGTACGCTGCTGTGACGCAGGGCGTATCACTCCTATTCAAGTCAATAACGGCTTCAGAATTCTATACAAAATCAGTTCTTCCAATGGAGCATTAACCTCAATGCGTTTGAAAGCAAAAAAGCAGTACAAATTCGTTTTTTAAAAGGTGAGCTTTCAGGTGTAGCAAATTTTCCATATTCCGATGCTGTGGCTGTATAGATACCTGGGTTTGAAAAATGCAGTAGTCTTGAACATGGAGGTGGCTGTCAGCCTTTGGTACAAGTTTTACAAACTTTTGAATTTTGCTGCTAAAATCAATAAAATTTGGGACCAGTTTTGAGCAGTAAGATAGGGTGGTCTGCAGTGAAAATAGCGGTGTTTTGGAAAATCCTTTCCACACTAGCAAATAACGCAGTTCATGGGATGCCTTCATAGCATTGGCCAGCTTGAAGGCTAGGTAGGTGCATGTAAGATAAAATGGTAGTGGAACATATCGCATAAGGGTGATGAGTATAAGCAAGTTGTTCTCAAAATTCCGTGTCTCGAGCAATGTTCCAGTTACTAACAAGGAAAGCGCTCTTAGTCGAAGTGGCCTTTCCAGATGATTCGTACATCGCTTTGAAGAGCATCAAACGTTGATTCTAAATCTGTTTTCACTACCTGCCAATTGTTACCAGGAGTCATCAGTGTTTTTTGGAGCAAAAAATGAACGCAAAATTTATGTAAAAACAGTGATTACAGCATTTCCTGCGCTCAAGTAGAGCACTGTTGAGTATAAAGTTATTAAACAGAAGGATTCATTGAGTGAAGTGCTCTGATTATGAACACCTGACCGATTGAGCAGAATTGGACGGTTTTGTTCCAGTTGTGCCTTCTGTTTTTTAACTTTAAAAACGCCCATAGCTCGGCTCTAGAAGCCCTTGGCAGATATGGAAGACGGTTTTGGAATCAACGTTCAATGCTCTACAGAGTGATATAGGTGTCATGTGGAAAGGCCACTTCGACTGAAGACGCTTCCCTTGTAAGCATTTCTTACAAATATTTTCGGTATGATAACAGGATTTTGAGTCATTTTGTCAACATAATCTTAGGAAAAATGGTGTATAGTCGTCCTCCCCCCACTAGACACTCAGTGGACGAATTTGAATTTGAGCAGGAGCAAACGGCTAGCGTCAGAGCGCGGCAGACTCCGCCCCTGTCAGTGCACGTGTGCGCATATGCTGTTTTTCCATTTTTCTTCGTGTTTCTTTGTTGTTACTCTTATTGCGGCAATGCATCATATCAGATTCGAGATTTACCGGTGATCGTTTTTTCATGCTGTTATTATCGTTTGCATTATAATTTTTCAAGGTAAAGCTGGAAATACGACGCAGTGAAGACTAGGGGCTAGGAATTCAATCCCTCACAGAGAAGGGAAGGTTAAACGAACAACTAAGTGCTTACGTGCTAAGGATATACATATGGCATGGATATTGCCATACGGAACGAATATGTCGGATGCATCATCCAAAAAGCTCACCTATACTTCTTGAAAAGATTCAGGTCTGAAAAAAAAGTTTAGAGAGCACACTTAACTGAGAAATTGATTCAAGAAAGCAACGCTTGTGCACGTGTTTTTTTTTACCGAAAAGGGCGATAAGCAAATTTCATTGAAAAATCTTCAACTGCGTCGTATTCCCAGCTTTACCCGAAAAAATATAAGGCAAACGATAGTAACAGCATGAAGCAACGATCGTCGGTATACGCACACTTTGACTGGGGCGACGTCTGCCGCGCTCTGACGCTAGCCGTTTGCTCCTGCTCAAATTCAACTTCGTCCACTGAGTGTCTAGTGGGGGGAGGACTATACTAGGTTGTAAAGAGTTTTCGGGCACGCACTTGCGAAGATTTTTTTAGAACTGCTGTAAATTCATGGAAATTGATCTTTAAAGGCAGCGTACACCCAAAACAAATGCAACAGATGTTGCAACAGCAACTGCAACTGCAATTGCAGCTTACGCTGTTATGGATTCGTCCGGAGGAGGCGGAGCGAAAGAAAAGGGGCGGCGTGAAAGAAAATTGAGGGGGGTTTTCTCCGCTCAGAACCAACATTGGGAGACCGGACCAACGCAGTTGGTCTTCTTCTGGGCCCAGTATATAAACGGTGTAGAAAGATCTAGGAAATTCGGTAACTCAAATTTTGGGTGTACGCTGCCTTTAAGAGTTGCAATACTGCAAAGGCAATGTTTTAGACATGCTTATATTATTGAATCCTCAACTCTTCATATTGAGCCACCAGCGAGGTCGATCAAAAAATTAGCGTAACATGTTTTTTCGGGCACAGAAGCCATGATGCTCACGCGAACACAGCCTTGCCCAGCTTCGTTGCTAGCAGAGTGGCGCCGCGGTGTCGGACTTTTATGGAGAACTATTAGGTTGTTACATAAGTATTGTTACACTTAACTTCTAACGGCGATAAGTCATACACCTCATAGTCTTTGCAGGACTCCAAGGTACCATTCGATAGAGCAAAGCAAGCTCTACAAAATGTTCTGCAAAGGTTTGCACCAGCTCCGACCCACCGTAAGTTTGCACCCAAAATCTGAGTCGTACTGAGATTCAAAAAGTCGCAAAAAATTCATATCTTTGTTCAAACAAATCCTACGGATCTCCAACTTGCTCAAAAAATTGCACACTATATCATACACTCATATGTACCGTTGCTGTATTTTTTCCTTATCTAGAAATCGAGAAAAAGAATTTTTTTTTAATTTTTACAAAAACGAAGCTATGCTGTCTCTATTCATGTAGCTGTATACTACAAGCTCCTAGAAGTATGACCGTAAATTTTCAGCTTCCCAGAAGCCCTAGTTTTCGAGAAATATCAAACTTAGCCTCAATCACTCGGGTGTTCAATGCTAAAGTAGGTATTTCTCGAAAACTAGGGCTTCTAGGAAGCTGAAAATTTACGGTCATACTTCTAAGAGCTTGTAATATATCGGCGATCCCCCAGAATTGTGCACATATGAACCACCGCGCGCGCGCACGCGCGCGACGCCGCTTGCTCGCCCGATTCGCAGCACCTGTTTTTCTCTTTCCATCCGCATTTTCCAAAATTTTTTACAGTTTTTGCTCTTCCGGCATAGAAAGTGTACGGCAGCAAGGGTCCTTCGAAGGAATTTGCTCCGCTATGGTCGACTTTGCGGGAATAAACTCGCACTCCTTTGTTATTTGCTACTAAATGTTCTTGACGTTGGCAAGGCCTCAATCTACTTCAGCTTTTTGTTTCTTTTTTACTATTACAGTGCTTTTATGATGATTTGTTGATGTCAGCAGTTAAAGCTAAGAACGTGCAGCAAAAACCTCATCTTGCTCACTGCACATTCCCAAAATTGTGATTTCGTACCTAATTCATCATCCTATCGACTACATTACTGCAAGAGAGGTTATGATCACGTTCTTTTGAAGTAATGCTCTGCACGATGACGATGCTTGAACCCTGGATGTTACTTGGCCAAAAGTCTGTTCAGCCTGTTTGAGATTTTGCAGGCCTGCTTACGCATAAGATTATTTATCTCGAAAACCTTTTTTTGTACCTTTCCGTTCTTTATGAAGTTTTGTGGGCCAATCGTTTCGTCATCATAACACTTCATTTCCGAAGGTATTGCAGATTTGTAATTCGTTACATAATCCACTAAATGGGTACGTATGTTCAGGGAATGGCTATGAGAATCATAACTATGGATCTGACTGTTGTGGTTACTCATTTTTTCGTTCGTCATTGGCATCGCATGGCTTCATCGTCAGCGCTCACTGCTGAAGGTTCAATTTCAAGTTTCTTTTTTCCTTACTTGCCTCTGATTGTAACTCTTTTAGTGATTACTATTTTTGGACTCTCGAACCAAATCGAGGCATTACCGCAGAGTCTTGCCAGGATTGTCATTTATCAGTACGACTTATGAATTTCAACGACAAACTCTATTCAAAACAAGGAATCCACAGGTTCCTTCCAGATCTTCATATTTTGTTGTTTCTGGAACATCTTTCTGAAGAATTTGGACTTTGAACGTAGCCTTGCGTGATGTACAGTTTGTCACAAGGCATCCTCAAAATAGTATTTCAGTAACACAGTCAAATATATTTTATCTTCAGCATATATTATCTTTGTTTCAGCCTAACAAAAGGGCACACTGAATATGTCGAGGTACTCAACGCCTTTGGAGGAATCTACACTGGACAGCTTCGAAGCAATGCTGGCACGATAAGAATGAGTATGTGCTTGGAGTCAAAGGTATGTGGTGCTAGCTTGCCTTTATTTATATGAATTTGTTTTATTCAGGCTAGGATTGAACTTCTACCGCCCTTTGTGGGTTGTTGCGGTGCAAAACTATAGCCACTAAAGCTTTCTCCATTGATTACTCTCGGGTGTGTCTCTTATCCTCCAAAGTATTCTGAGACATAACTGCTATTTCACAGGTTGATGCTCTTTCACTATTACTTGCAGTCGCCTTCAATACAATTCCTTACGAAAAGCAGAAGAAGTGAACAATCTCATATGAGAAAGCGTGGTTTACGCTCAATACTGAGTACAGCCTACGTCGCCTTCAACCTCGCTTCCCATAGCTTGATTTCATCATATATCACCTATTTATTAGTTTGTTGATTGATTTTGATTTGTTGATTTTTGACGCTCTTTGAAAACAGCCGATTAAAAACACATTCTTCGTTGTCTGCCTGTATCTATTATCTCCGTGACTTTCTTTTATCGGATCGCATACTCACAGATTGCTATGCATTGTCATTAAATCCTGCTGAACATTATGTTCTGTAACTGTCCTAGATTGTGCTGATAGTAGATGGTTGCTAATAAACATGATAGCGTTCTCTATTGTATAATAAGCAGCTGACATTTTGAGATAAAAGAAGACCCTTTTCAAAAGAGTGGTCTTCCAAAAAATGTCCTTTGACACTACATGCTCTGATACAAGAATAGGCACCCAATCATAACCTCTTGGAGTACAAAACCAGTAAAATTTTCTCATTTGAGTTGAATGTTTCTGAGGAAATACATTTCCTTGAATGTTCAAGCTCAGGAAATAACCCTGACACTAAGATTTCAGCGAGTAGCAAAGAAAGAAATGTGTATCTCAAACCCAAATCGTTTGGTAGCATCTCGCAAACGATTTCTGAATCTTCAATGGCAATTTGAAAACACACAGCTACAAACCAAATGAGAAAGCAGCAGTGTCTTAATAGACAACAGCATTAGTGCAAAAAAAGCACTGTAATCGTAAAAAAGAAACACAAAAAGCTGAAGTAGATTGAGGCCTTGCCAATGTCAAGAACATTTAGCAGCAAATAACAAAGGAGTGCGAGTTTATTCCCGCAAAGTCAACCATAGCGGAGCAAATTCCTTCCAAGGACCCTTGCTGCCGTACACTTTCTATGCCGGAAGAGCAAAAACTGTAAAAAATTTTGAAAAATGTGGATGAAAAGTGAAAAACAGGTGCTGCGATCGAATCGGGCGAGCAGGCGGCGTCGCGCGCGTGCGCGCGCGCGGTGGTTCATATGTGCACAATTCTGGGGGATCGACGATACAGCTACATGAATAGAGACAGCATAGCTTCGTTTTTGTAAAAACTAAAAAAATTCTTTTTTTCGATTTCTAGATAAGGAAAAAATACAGCAACGGTACATTTGAGTGTTAGATATAGTGGGCAATTTTTGTGAGCAAGTTGGAGATCAGTAGGATTTGTTTGAACACAGGTATGAATTTTTCGCGATTTTTTGAATTTCAGTACGACTCAGATTTTGGGTGCAAACTTACGGTGGGTCAGAGCTGGTGCGAACTTTTGCAGACCATTTTGTAGAGCTTGCTTTGCTCTATCGAATGGTACCTTGGAATCCTGCAGAGACTATGAGGTGTATGACTTATCGCCGTTAGAAGTTAAGTGTAACAAGACTTATGTAACAACCTAATACATGAGCACTCGGAAAAAATCGCCTTTTCAGACTTTAACGTGCGGCATCCATCCCACCTCGTTAATTAAAGAGTAAAATTAAAAAGAATTGTCTATTTTCTTCCTTTTTGCTCAGTTTCGTGTTTTCTATATTCAAATAAAAGTAAAAGACTCGCTTAAGTTCAAAACTTCTTAAACTGTTCTAATTTTTCCCCTTTATTTTACTCACGTTTTTTGCCATGATATAGTTTTTTAAATTGTCATTGCAAGTTGTGACCTGTGGCCCAGATTGCTAGTTGAGATTAACCCTTTGGCGATGCTGACCTGCGGCCTTAATTTACTAGGGAAAAAGCTACGGCGGTGGAAGACCACAAGACAACTAAGAGGACCTTTTTTTATCATGTGGTGTAAGCACAGTGGGGTGCGGCGCACCACTTGCACCACCATCTTGCCAAAAATTGCCACGGGTAAGTCTTAAAAGAGACTGTATTACTAAATTTTGCGTTTTTAGGCGACTTCGCAAGTTATGGGACGACAGAAAATATCCTAATTATGCTAAACGCGTGAGTGTTCTCCACGTATTTGCTTCCATCGCAATGGACGGCTTAAGGAAGTTAGATAAGGTGAGTTTAACCCATTATCCTATACAAAAATTTGGATCATTAACACACAAGGAGACTGCGACTGAGGGATACAGAAATGCGAAGAAAAGCAAGCCTGCCATGCCAGCATTCAAGGATTTTCAAAACCGCTTCGTGATCGCAGTTTCGGAAGCCGAAGAATATTGCCGTAAGATGACGCGCTCATTCTGCAGAGCTCTGTGAAGTCTATTTCAAAATTGTACATGAAATTGTATTCACTTAGATTTCCATTTTAAAATTGCAAAAACTTTATTCATTTACTTGACGTGACTAGACGTCTTGGACTTTGGTTTGAAGGGATTTTTACTTTAATGTTCCTTTGTTTTTATTTAAAGCTAAAAAAACATGAAAGAAAAAAGAAGAGAATGAACAAGTTTTTTCAATTTCTTCACATCTTAACGCGACACCGCAGCGGGACGTCGCGACGTGGCGAAGCTGGACGATGCTGTGTTCCCGCGAATCTCTCATGGCTCACGCGCATTCATGCAAAATGGGTGTGGAATACCGTAAGCTACTTCGGCGGGTGTGCCGACTGTAAGCGGCGAGGGTTTTGTGGTATAAGACACGTTTCCCTTAGAAATCTAAGCTTTTTTTCGTGGAGTCCACAATGATTTATCGTAGAAAAAAATTACCGACTGCGAAAAAAGTCGAAATTGGAATCGAAAACCGCCTAGAAACATTCTTAGCAAACTAATAATAAAGTATAGTATAACAGTATAGAAAAGCAAGTAACGATTACAGATGTTTATATTTTCGAGAGTCAATCTAGGAGTCACCTTATTAGGTTTTCTGCAAGGAGAAGTTATGCAAAGGTACTATTAACGTTATTTTCGGGGAGCAGAATAATCCGAATAAATGGAGAATGCTAGTGAAATGAGATACTCACTTCATTATAATGAACATCGTGAGTATGTTTGTTGGAAAAATCTAGTGTTTTCGAGATTGCATCAGAAACTCATTTCCACTGTTGCATTTTTCTTAGGTAATACTCCTCAGAATTTTTGAAAAATGGTGTACGCTATAAATTTTGTATTATCTCCGTAAGCGATGTCTTGTCTTCTGCAAAAATTCCGATTTCAGATAACCTAAATTTATCTGTTCCAGATTTTCTGAGGGGGTAATTTGCGAAGTGCAAATGTGTTTTTTCATATGGCTACTGAAAGTATCTATCAAACAAAACTTTTGAAGTTTTTGAAACCTAAGGAGTATCGTTACTACTAGTCTTGAATCAGACAGGAAAGTCGAAAGAACCTGAGGCTGACTCGATACTTCCTTGGACTTCCGAACTTCGTCGGCAACAATGCCAGTTTTGCTCAATTCCGAATTGAACCCAACATGGTCCACGTGCCTAATCAAAATCTTTGATTTTCAACAAAAAAACTTTGCAAGTTCATACCTGAAGTCGTAAGGAGCGGAGATGTCCAGCTTTTTGGTTTTTCTAATTTTATCTGGTGACGTGGTCTTTTTGTATGGTGTTTCACCTCTCTTCTCTTTATTTGTCATAATTTGTAGGGTTTCGACATATGCTGTAATGACAATTGACCTAAACTTTTACTCAAATTTGGACAGTTGTTTGAAGATTAAAAGTGATAAGGACGTTATTTGATTGCACGATTCTCAAAATTTCTTGATCGACACTTGATTTAAACTTGTTGGGGCATTTATCCTGAAACATCCGCTAGCAACGATGGTTCCAGAAGTAAGTGTCTTATGTGACGCACCTTACCACTTACGTTATATGCTTCAACTTATGTGAGACTATTTGCCAAAATCCGTATTGCAAAAAGAGCAGCAGGGGAAGGAACAAAAGCAAGAAATGTCACTACATGAACTTTTCTCGATAAGTTCGGACTTTCTAATTCAGCATGATGAACCCCGGTAATTTGTCAGCCAGGTATCGCTGATTCATTGACCGCACGGACTGCTCGAACCTTGCGGACCGTGCGGCTGAAATGTTGCGAGAGCGTAATTTGTACAATAGCAAAATTATACTGAGGCTGGCGCGTGTTCCGCAGTGATGTTCAGTCCGTGCGGTCAGCGAATCGAAGAGATGCTAATATTAGGTGGTAAAACATCGAAATTGCGCACTATCGTAAATCGAATGATTTTGCGAATGCCATTTTATTCATCACATGAGACTCTGCGCACTAGTGTTTAATGGAAAAAAGATCACTAGGCTAGATTTTCATGCAAAGCAGACCACTGAGGACAACATCGGTGATTGGAGAACTGCTTCAACAGCAAAGCGCTGCAATATTAGCTTCAACAAAATCCGCTTCCTTGACTTCAAATGTTTCAAAACAAACGTTCAATGTTGTTTCGTTTGAATCCCGAGTGGAAACATAATCTAAATTCAATAAGTTTTTTAATTTCAAGCTTGTCTTGAAAGAGTGATTTGTAAGTCAACTCGATGTAAATTGTACTATTTATTTTGAGAGATGGAGTTTTCCGGAGAAATGAGACATGCACGGCGATATTGAACTTTTGCCTATCTGTCAGGTCGTAAAAATATTATAATACCCACAGAAAGCTACATTCAAGAACTATTAGATGCAGTTACTCCCCTTGTTTCGGTTTCAAGGTAGATTTCATTCTCATGACAGTACTTTAGCAAATCCTCAATAAGCACAAATCACATAGTTAAAAGTAGGAAAATTGCTCTTTAATTTCTCTGCGTGGTCGTAAAAAATCGAGCTTGCGATAAAAGTCGGAGCAGTCGTTTTTATAGTTTTTATTGCCTTCTTTATGACTGTGCAAACTTGTCGATCACATGCCTCCATGAAAAGCTACATTTTCAGAAAAAAACCAACTTTTTGTTTTCTGCTCGCTCAAAAATCATGATTTTCTATAGAGTATGATCAACTTTGCTCAGCTGAAGGGAGCAGCCAACATCACTCCAATACCAACTGCGGTTATATTGCAGTTCTAGATTCTTTTAGACTAGACACAGAATATTTAGTATGTTCTACCCTACTATAGATGTAGTACATGCTCAACAGAAAGCCATTAAGGCAGTTTTTTTGAAGAGTTGTTTACTCTTTTGAGCAAAATAAAAACAAGCAATTGGTTCAAATGCAAGAAATTATGGTTTTCGAAGATGGTGCGAAAGAACTTTCATAGCAAGTCAATATCTAATCACCTTCATTAAGACTGTTTTCGTCAAGTATTGTTTCACTTTTTGAGGTCATTACAGTCTCGTTATCGCATACTATACTGGTAGCCAATCTAATTTCTTCTTATCTTCAGCAGTAGTTATGATGCAAAAGAACCAAGCGATTACGCCTAACAAATCAGATTGAAGCGAAAATAACAGCAGATTTGTGTATGTTCAAAAGTGCAAACGCTTTAGAAAACTTCTGTCAAACAATGTCCAGGGTAAAATTACTGAATCCTTTCTTTGGAGTGACACCTTTGATTCATGTGCATCTTTCCTTGAAACTGCAGGAAATTCGATTTTAGAAAACGATGATAGTACAACTAATTTGCTATCAGAGCATTGGAAAGGGAGGTAGTTGCATTGCAAAAAGAGTCGTATACCAAGAATTATTCAATTGAAAGTTGAACTCAAATGAATGATGCAGAAGTATTGCAGATCTTGAGGACTGTTAATAGTTTAACCCGAACATAGCGTTGGATGAACACAGAAAGAGAGTTACAGCGGACTTCACAGGAACCATGACTCATACGACAATACTGGAAGTATCAAAGCGGAGAGGATAAATAATCGATAGATGTCTTATCAGTTTAGAATGTTCACGGCATGCAAGAGCCAAGCAAGCGCCAGCTCATCGCATTCGATGCACTTTTGCAGCCCTTCAGAACAAAGACCTATTCAAGTGATGACGAACTCATGAAGTAGTCATGAAATTATGCAGATAAACACATTATCTGCAAAGTAAGATTGAAAGATACTGAAAATGGTGTAGTTTCAAAAGTTCTTAATACATTCGCTCCATTGTAGCTCGAATTTTACCAGGCTGAACATGATGTATTAGGTCATTCCGAAAGTAATGTCGCTTTTTCGAATGAACGCCACTATTCGTGGAATCAACGTACTCAAGAGAACTTAGAAGCATTCGATGCAGCATTTCATCCTCTTTCTAATGGTTTTAATTTTACTGCATAATGTATAATGAGCTCTCGAAAAATTACCAAAATCTGCGACTCATGTTTTTTGCCATGGTCAAGTTCGGCTATTTTTCTAAATTTTTGTACCTAACCTCCGAAAAAGTACAAGTGGCAGGTAGATAGAGCAAACACTATAGAACACAGAGTAATTTTTTCTTTTCCTTAGCTTGCTTCTCAGAGTTTCTACAATCAATTTCTCCATGCCATCAAATTCCATATTTAGTCAAGTCAAACCTCACAGAACAGCAACCGGCAAGCGACTCGGGTGTCATTCGATGCAGCTTTTTCTCCACTTTTTAGCGGTTGTTTTTTGTTCCCGATTCATCGCGTTTTCCGGGATAAAATTGTCATAATTCAACTTTTCCAAAGCACCCAAGGTGTACCCGAAATCTTCGAAAGTTGCTAAACCGAAGCGGTGAATGCTCGTTTGGTTTGTAAAATTGTTGCCAAACCATAATCCATCTTTGTAAGTTTCAAAATCCGGAGACCTGTCGGCTTTTGATGCACATGTGTCTGAGACGAGCCTGCTAAAATTCGGTGGTTCCATCAAAAAAACCTTTACAAAAATTATGACGAGCTCTGGAAAGCAGAAAAAAGTTGTGCTGTTTCCTGTAGGGTTTGCTCCATCCATCCATTACCTGAAGTCCTTCTGGGGTTTGTTATAAAATTTTAGAAAAATTGTGAAACTTGGCCATCTCAAAAAGCATAGGTCGCAGATTTTGACTCTTTTGTGGGAGCTCATTTTGTGGAGCAATAACTTCATAACCATTAAAAAGAGAATGAAATGCTGCATCAAATGCTACCAGAATCTCTTACACATCTCTGTTCCACGCGATGTGGCATACGTTTGAAAAAAGCGACATTACTTTCGGAACGACCTAATACATCAATTTTGAATCAAAGTTTACGCTCAATCCGCAAAATTCTTTCCGAGTAAGCCTGTGCTGTTCTCCTGATGGTGTTTTCAGAGTGATAACAAACTGAGTACGCAATGAAAATTTATAGGGTTTCTGAAAGTCTTTTTAAATCTGTGTTTCCTCAGCAAAAACTTTATCGAAACAACTAAGACAGCCAAAAACAAAATTTCCTTTTTCGTACAGGCCGAAACAGAAGACTAAACTTGTTCGAAAAATCACCTACCGGTCTCGCACCTTGAAGAACGCAGCCGTTAGTGGGCCTATCTTTAGTAACCATTGCAGGCAGGTAACTGACTTCGAAATTGTCTCACGTTTTCTGTGACTAGATTTGTTAACGAACCCCTTGCATCCTACTCAGTGAATAACCTAATCCACCGTTGGTGATCACGAACGTTTCCGCCGCTAGATCAACTTAGTCAGCAGCGATGATGTCAGGAGTGCACTGACGTCTACTTAGAGCACACCCTTGCGTACTTATGCTGTGCGTTCCTTACATTTTTTGTAATTCTGTTCAAGTTTTCCATAATTATTTATGCACTGTATCTATACTACGTACCCACGACCGCCTTCGCTTAGTTATCTCACTCAACAGAGTCGCCGATTCCATCAAAACTCATGTCGTAGCTTTGCGTTTTTATTGCAAGCCTGATCATTGATCAAAGTCTCCCATCTTCCGATAGTCGAAATGCTTCGGTAGCACACAAGTGTTCAGAGCCATAAAAATGATCAATGATCCAAATCTTTCGAACCAATACGATATGAATTTACTCAGAGAGTTCAAGCAATCTTACCGGAGTTTAACAAGGTTTCAATAAAGTTCAAGCACAATCAATTTTGATCCCTATTGCGCTCCTGAATTCACATGACCCACGCTAACATGCTTGTTAAATAATATCGGGCTAGAACGGGGCCAGTAGTAACCCCCAAAATATGTCGTGATGTAAAGGAAGCACGGTTGTGACATGTCGACTGAAGTACATGCTGCCCTTCATATGAATTGATCGCTGTGATCGCACATGCGTCATTAATCAAAATGAGTAGCTCGCTGACACTGTGTTATGGGCAACGCTTGCACAGGAAATAATTGTAAACGAAAGTAAGTAAGGCAAACAGGGCTGTAACAGTCAAAGTATCGAAAAACGAGGACCAGCATTACTCGCGCAGGAGACTCTTTTCTGAATGTAGAGTTTTCGACTTATACTTGTGAAACTAACTCCGAGGTGTTTTATATGAGTGCATGCGGCCCTAAGACTAGCTGGCTTTTCCGGCTCCGCCCGGCTTTTAAAACACTATGACAAAGGTCCCATCCGTATCCATGTACAACCTTCCCCCGTGCCCACTTCTACATGCCAATTGCCTGTTCCCGCTGTGTTAGTAATTAGCATGTTCGATTACCCCCCCCCCCCCCTTGTACCAACTCCCAGCCCCGTAGCTCAAACTTTGCAAAAAAATTGATAAAATCGATCTTGTTGAGCTTGTCC